GACGCACAGGTGATCTATAGCCACCTAAATCCGGATCGATCGGCGACGTGTCTCTATAAGGTCTTGATCGCACGCTGCAAAGATTTGAAGGCACAAAGGCTGATTCGCGTTAGCGAGATCCACAGACACACTTCCATGGGACACGACGGATTGTAGATACGCGCCTCAGCGTCATCCGAACGAGGTCTAGGGGTTTGTCGGTCAGCCTTCAAGCTTATTCTCACAGCCTTGATGCATCTTGAATGATCATCGAGGGTCCAAATAGGACTTACTGTCTCTTGCGGACCTCGAGGATCTTGATTCAGCTCGACGGAGATAGGATTGTAGGGCGAAGGTTGCCATTCGACAGGATCGAAGACGTTGATTACCTTTGATGTCTGGACTGACTTCCCTGCTACTCAAGCCTTGAAGGTACCGAAGGACAGTCCCTGGTCATGCTGGTCATGTCGTCGTTTATCGACGCTGCGAGAAGTATGAATGAATGGCATATGTTTAGGCGGCGATTGCTCAAGATCGGAAGATGTCAGCGTAACAGCAAGCGGCTACTCTGGCAAGCTCCGAGGGGAATCCACGGCGCGATCGACCTTTAACGTCGCTATACATACACGCAATAAATGGAATGATCGCTTACTTGACTGTTAATAGTTGTGGAAGTTTCGTCGGGTCTATGTTTGAAGCACAATAGAACGGATGCCTGTAAAGCTTGGATTAGCAGAAATCCAGTTGCAAAAACGTGGTCAGCGCCTCCACGCTCTGCTTGAGCACAGCCCCGCAAAGAGATATACAGCCTTATGGATCGCTCACCTGGGTAGACAGCAATAAGCGCTCTTGATCTATGTTTCGGGTACGCTGCACTACTATCAGTATGGTCACCTGTATCCCAACAACGGAAGCAAGATCGTCGTCCGAAGTACGACACAGCGACACATGACGGAGCCGTCATGACTGGTATTCTGTTAAGGCTCTAGACACGACGGGGCTAACTGAGACCTGTTCAGTGTTTGGTACAAATAGTGGTGACAAAGGTGCTTACTCTTACCTCGTAGGGTGGCGGCCATGTAGAAAAGCTGAGAGCAGAGAACAAGTGTAAGCAGCGCATTGGTAAGACCAGAGACCATGACGTTGACCTATTCCAGTAGTCAGTCGTAGAACATGGATACTGTGAAGCCCGCCTAGCATTCGGTCATAGATCTCTTTCATACCACCATTTGAGCTGACCTGAAGGACAGTTTTCTTTTCAAGCGCAGTCTTTTCCTCAGCAATGGGCGCTGAAGCATAGGTATAGAGCTGATAAAGGCGAACGAGTCGCTCGCTCTTTGGGGTCGGGACTTGCGTAGAGTAATTTATACGATCATAGAGAATATCGCAAAGGTGCGGACAAGTTACCAACGACTCGCGCGACTCGAGTAGTCTTCTCGATATTTGTCAGTGATTTCTTGAGGAAATCTTTGTTCAGATGCACCACTAAAACTGTGTGACTGGTTAGCGTCGATTGCAACAAGCAGTTCAAGAACGGGCAAGCAGTTTCGGCGTGTGAGTCAGCTACACAGTTGTTGCACAGGAAGTGTGGATGCTGGTCAGGAAAACCGGGCAGTTTACTGAAACTCGATTCCATAATTCGTATATGCGTATCAAGTTGCCCTGAGAGAGAGGTCAGCGAAGATCGTTGAGGTATAGGTAACAGCAGTTACTAGAGATTGTACAAGCCAGTAGGACGATACCTCCTGGCTTGGCCGTGATGATCCGCGCTCGCAGCCGACGCGACAGTGTGCACACCACAATTTTCAGACGCACGAAATATACGAGATAGCTGTGGAGGAAGATGGGTTTCTAGAAGCTAGGCTTCGGCTCCCAAAAGGCCTCCATGAAGCTCTCACGCCCCGTAAAGCAGCCTGAGAAACACTGCAGACCTAGCCCTCAAGAGCACGATTCGGCGCCAAGCAGCGCTGACCGTAGTGGCATGTTAGTTCCATGCAAAATGAAGGCCACAGGATACTCACTGTGTGGACAAAGCAGGATGTAGACGCGGAGTTAAGCGCGGAACTACCGGAAATGCGGAACCGGACGCGGAACTGAACAAGCGAGGCTTTCCCTAATGCCAGCTAGCGCAGTACATGCCTTCTCTCTAGTGTCTCAACAAAAGACATAGTGGCCAACTGGCGTCACCAATACGTTGCAGCTCAGCCGTTCAGCACAAGAACATTGTTTCTCCGGTTACTATCCGTTACACCTGGCTTCAAATGGGAGGATAGGGACAGCAGTCGTAGTCCTCAAGGGGTGCAGCTGAGGTGGGTCGCCTGTTGCATCGCAGATCCCCGCGAGAAGTGAGCCTTGAGTGTAGCGATGTATGACCACAGACGGGGTTTCTGAACATGTCGCACCGGCACCTTTATAGTCACTGACCCACGTTACGCTTATGCTGATAGAAGGCCATCTGTAAAGCAAGTACCAACAATCTGCACTACAGTGACAGCCTACATCACAGTACTTACTGTCCGCCGTGTCGAGAATTCAGCCTTCTCAAGTGATCAAGTTCAAAAGTATTATGTATGTCCTCGGTGATAAGCAGGAGAATAGCATAGGAATGTCAGCTGCTAGCATAACGACGATTGAAGCTGACCTCGACACGTCTACCATCGCTGACATGGTAGCGTAAGGAGGTCAGAGATAGGCACGACAGTAATACTGCTGACCGTATTTATGGAGGTAAGCAATTGTTATCGAAACCATGGTTGTGGCAGCGCTGTTCCCTCCAAGTAGTCTCTGCTGATCACGTATCTTGATATGCCGAGATTCGCCTCGCTGGCCCCACAGCAAGCCGAACGGTTCGTGCGACTCTGGGTGTCTACGTTCCGAATGACAACTCTAACAATGACAATGAGCAGCAACATCACAGCGCCACATGTGAACGAGAACTGCCAGGGTCGCGAAGGACGGCCTCGACGCTCTTCCCATCGTTCAATGTCAGTCACGCAGGTTAACAGGCTTAGCAGGAGAGTCTGCGGGCCACGGGACAAATCGTGTACCAGCCACGAAATGCATTAGGGAGCTTGGAATCCACCAGTCATTACCGATCACGCCTAACGTTTCCTGCGTTGACAGGTTAGCCATGTAGATAAAATGCTGGCGGTCATCAACGTAGTGTTGAGAGGATCATAATCGACATGCTATCAACGGGTAATGTAATCGCAACACCAGCGTAATATGCCATGATGCGCCACATGTGATGACCGCCAGCACCAGGTGCGGGTCGTGCCATAGTGAATACACACTGACCATGTAGTCTGCCTAGGTAAGCGTCATCACCCTCGTGCTGCCTGTCATTGCACGATCGGAGCGCTACAGGTCAAGCATTGAAGGAACCGACAAACTGCATCTGCACCTCGCTCGTACTTGGCTATGCCTCGGGTATTGTATGACCACTGTGTCGGTCTTAAGAAGACTTGACAAGGCTAAACTCACGTAATGAAACGAAGGAGACTAAATCATACTTGAATGGGAACGTGGTTCTTTACATCGTGAGCACCATGGCGGAATTACGGGAGACCAAAGTCTTCGTCTGTTGGTTGGCTGGTTGGTTAATTCCTACTCGGTTTCAGCCGCGAAGTCTGCAGCTATGCCTAGATGCAAAGGGTTGGTGGACAGCCGACGCGTTGCTGAATACATCAGCACCGCCCCACTACACCATACCGATGGTATAGCCAGCTGTCCCCTCGCCCATGCGTGGTCTGGCTTCTATCTACGACTATGTGCATTTCACCTCAAGAAGTGACGTGTTTGCCTGTCTGTATGTTTCCTCGAATTGTCTTCCTGTGTGTGTGCAGTACACGAAGCGTTGTGTGTGTAACATTGTTTCAAGGCTCGTAGAAGCGCGTTGCCTCGTGTGTTGCGACTGCAATACCTTCAGTCTCCCCCTAGCGTTTAGCTGTCGTGTGCTAGCTTGCCCCCGTGCCCCCCAGGGCTTAAGATATGTTACCCGCTCTCCGATGTTCTTTGAGTGTTATGATGCCGTCCACTAGATTCCTATGCGGCTGTGGTGTGTGGTATGACCTGCCGCCGAGCGCAGCGGCAGCAGCATTTTGTCGTGACGCAGCTTCACGAGACCGATGCTCCGCTCGTGCGCGCCACCGACTCAACTGAGCATGAGGGCCTCCGCGCGAAACCCCTTACACCTTGTCGGGTGTGTCAAAGGGGCACCACTCCTTCTACACAGTGGAGACGGCTGTAGACGAGGCTGTCTGAAGGTCTGTATGTATTGTAGGCACCGATGGTAGCACGCCAGATGTCTGTGAGTTGGTTCGCGCGAGAGGTGGTGTTGTTCAGCCCGAGGGCTCGTCGATGAGGGACGTTGCAGGCATTGTCGGATGGTGATGGGCTGGCCAGAAAGCCCATCAGTGACTGTTGTGTGTGTGTGTGTGTGTGTGTGTGTGTGTGTGTGTCTGTGTGTGTTGTGACTGTTGTACTCAAGACGTGTCTGGGCTCCGTCGCCACGTCTTGTGTTGCTGTGTCGCGGCTAGATGGCTGCCGCTGCATTAGGTGGACGTGTCCACCAGCCTTCGTAGTTACCATGTAATTTAACTGAGGTGATCCGCGCTACTTCCCTGCCAAGTCTATGATTTCTCAGCTGTGGCTGACGTGGTCTAACTCCTTTGGGTGCCGCAGAAAAGTCCCTGCGTGGAGAAATAAGTTATTGCAACTGGTAACTACATCAACCCACGAACGCAAAAAGACCCGCCAGTCAGGTGTCAGTCGTTGGACAATAGCCCTTTAGAATGAGCAAGCGCAAGGTTAGATGAACTAGATATTAATGTTGTAGCACTCCAGCTAACAACGGAGCCGAGCAGGCTGAAGATAGCAACTCTACCTCGAACTCAGCGCGCAATGTCCGACCCCGATCTGAGGACAGCTTTCCGCTTCCAAGCCCGCTTGTACTTCCTGAGACCTGTCAGTATCAACTGAAAGTACTCGCGAATATCCCAGAAAACCTGCCCTTCTTTACAATGACAGCTCTGACGATCGCCAAATCTTGCGCACTCGAGTCCCAAGCGACACCATATCTAGTTAGTACACTCACAGTGGCATTAAGGGATGAGGGCGCAGACGAGAAGAAAGTGGAAATAGCGAGGGCGATATGGGAAAATAGTAGCAATTTATGCAAGGCAAAAGAGGTTGGAGCAATGCTGGGTACAGTCGATATCCTGCAAAAAGGGCTCTACCTCCTAATTGAAGGGGCCAAGGAATGTTCCTCATCCCAAGTTACAGCGCAATTACAACGCCGTCTCAATGCTGCCATAGCTGAGTGCTTAGCTGGCAAAGACGACGAAATACGGGTTGAGAAAGCTGTTCGCGAGTCAGCAACACCAACCCATCTCGAAGGCAGCCAAGGAGCTTCTAGCTCCATTAACAAGGGTCAGAAACAGTCTAGTGAGGCTCCGAAGCTTGTTCCAAACTATTTAAGCTATAACGACGACTCTTCTGCGAGCCACATTGATGGCCCCCAAAGTCGAGCGTCAAATGAAGACAAGAGGGGGAGTGTGGCGAGAGAAGCCACTAGTGCTGATCTGGACACTATTGATCAGCTTATTTCGGACGAAGCAAACGCTGCTAAAGCTCGACCCTCGACTGCTCCTACTGGGAAAACAGCAAGATAGTGGAAATTTTGACTTACAGTCAAAGGCCGATATCCTGGCATTACTGGAAGCTGGTCTCGGCGGCCCTGTAGCGGCTTCTGCTACTGATTGGCTGCGGCAGGAGAACAGCAACGCACTAGATACCGAAGTTTCCTCGTCTAAGGCACTTCCCTCCGAGTCCTTAAACAAGCAACCTGCAGATGGAGCGAAGGACTTGCTAACTCCAAGCAACACTTCAAAGTACCTTAAGGCGGTCCCGTCTATTAATGGCGCACCTCCTATCGGGGAAGCAAGAATGCCGTCTACCGATATGGAGTACAATGAGGCTCTAAAGCGAGAGCCACGAGTCAAAACGGAAAATACGTATTCGGGTTCTGATCGCGTCTCCTCCGATCAAGCTGGCCTCAACTTAGCGTATGGCACAGCTTCTACTGGAAATGCCGGATACAAGCTCGTGATAAGTGGCCACACGCAATCAAAACGGCGCTTACCGGACCGTCCGCTATCTAAACGCATATCGTCTGGAAACATACATGACAAGGTATATAGGCATCGTCTCAGTCTTTGGGACGGCTCCCATAGACGTATTGTTATTACTGCGATATATGACTGACTCCATGCAGGATCCAACTCAGTCGACCCCGGACTGCTTGACCTGTTTCTTTTGGTTCTCCCGCGGCTTCTGTGAAAGGAGAGATCGTTGCAAATTCCGCCACCAATTGCAAGACTATGTCGCGAGCTGCCCAAAAAGTGGCGGCATGCCTATAAAGGTCATTCCCATGAGTACTATGGAGGAGACAAGGAAAGCCACGCTTGCCAGTGATCCAAACCACGTGAGCGTACGCGACAGGCGAAGCGATCCGAAGTCAAATTTTGACACTGCATTCACGGATACCCCTATCTTAGATTTGTTGCTTGATGACTGTATTCCTATTGAGCCTGGATCAGCTTCTAGAGTTATCTCATCAATTATCTCTAATATAAGGGCGAGGAAGGACCGCTCTCAAGGTGTAAGTGCACTTGCAATTTTGGCAGCTTACACCTGCTAATATACTCAGGACTTCGTCACAGAGTTGTACGATTACAAAGGCAAGCCTTCTAACTTTGATCTTTATCGCCACTCTGGACTGCCAAGCAAGCTGGGAGGTGCGATGACCAAAGTCTCTTACAATCCTGATCATACTCGCAGAAGACTCGATGAGATACTAAGACCGTTTGTGGAAGCGAACAAAAACAAGTTTCCGGACTTGCCAGAGAGGACATTCAAGAAACAGCGTGAAGAAGGCGGAAGACCGCGGGCAAATTGCCCGTAGAAGAACTCTAGCGAGAAGTTTTGCAGTGGCGGATCTAAACGGTTGGTTTGGCCGGAGAAGTGTTTTTATTGTTGCGATAAATGTAGATGTTGCATCCCGTGGTTAGTCTAATTATTAGCAGCGATGTGCAATATTGATTTCTAGCCAGTCCCAGGCCTTTGGTACACTTCAAGGTTGTACCGTGTCTGGACAAGGAGGGATAAGCCCTGTCGCCGGGAAGCCTGCCTGGATGTTCTGCTGTGTGAGTACGGTCGGCCGGATCTGTGTATAGATCGTGAGGAGGTCTACCTTGTCAACCTGGTTGCGCACTACAACCAGTGAATGCGCCATCATCTCTGCGCCTTTGGTGAGCCGATCAATAGCATCAACCATTGAGGTTGGCGAGCTGTCACCGTGTCGCTGGATCCTCTCTCGAATCAGCTTTGATTGCGACCCAAATTCCAGGGTATTGCTTGGGGTTGAGAGTGCCACGTACTCTCATCCACAGTAGGTAGTGGTGGAGTACGCAGGCGCACTTCAAACTTTGATATTACAGCCTCTGGGTTAAATGTGACTAGACCAACACCTCTGAATCCTCTCTGAATATTGCTCTTAGTGATTGAAGCGTTAAAAGCCGCTTTAAAGCACAGCAAAAACTCAAGATTAGTGATGCGAGTGATCTTGTTGCGCAGTACTGGTGAAATTTAATTCAGTTGTGGCTCTCATGGCCGTCCAGAATGAACAGCCGATAGCCGCCAGCAGTGCGCTCCTCTGTGTGTTCGTCAAAGTGCTTTAACCACTTCAGACCAAGCTTTTTGTTAGTCCAGCCGTTCTCAGAGACATTAACAACCCAGTCATGGGGTATAGACGGCTCCTTATACCAGGCAGAGAGGTGATGCTTGCTAGCGGAGATGATAAAGGGCGGGATAGCCCACCCTTCGCGTTGATGCCCTGGATACCGTACTTGGTTTTCATGCGCTCTACTAGCAGGAACCAGGCTCGTATAGTCTCAGGATCGTCGCAAAGAGCTCTCTTGTAGTCATACTTGCGATTAAACTTCGTTTGGAGCTTAAGGCGACGTTTGACGAACGTACTAGGCCAGTTTACGCCAACCTGGCCAAAATTGCGCTCCGCTCGCAAGGAATTGGCCATAGTAGCTACAGCTGCGAGCCGGGGGGAAATCCTCGCCCAACAAGCTCAAGTATATGCTCAACAATCACCTCCTCCTCAATCTTGTCTAGCTTCCTTATTTTGGGCGTGTATTCTGCTTGTGAGGGTCGTCCAGCACGTCGATGGCGTAGTGTTATTTGAGAGACGTTGTAGAGCACTGCAGCGCGTCGCAAGGGGAGTGTCGCGTCTTGTTTAAGAGTCTGGAGCGCAAGCTGTATCTGAGCTTTGTAAGAAGGTCCTATCTGGTGTTGTTGTTGGGGCATCACGTAGGTAAGTGCAGTTTTGGTGGGGTCTTGGCAAAGGTGAACCGCGAATCCGTGAGGTACGTTACTTAGTGGTAATAAAACTTAGCTTAGACGCCTACTCGGAACTAACTTAAGGTAGTTATACTCAATTACTTTAGCTCCCAGGTAATTTAGCGCCATTTAGTGTCACGATGTTCCAACACCACAGGTTCCAGCCACAGGCAGGCAAGCCACCGGGGACCCTTCGGGCCACCGTCGGCCCTCACCAGCCACGATCACGTGACGTAGGTATATTTCATCCCTCTAGGAGTCTTGATAGCTCCTCAAGGATTCGTCTCAATACAAGCCTATACCAATATCTCAGTGCCTGCCCAAGTAATCCTCACACTTAGTCTACTAGCTTTTCTTAACTCTATAGCTCCTTAAACAGCAGACACGTAATTGCGGCATAGTTGCTGTGCCGCAATCCTTCTACTTTACCGCACGATCCTTTAGAGTACTTATACTAATCCCTAGGTGTCCCCTATATCTAATCGTAACACACATAAACAAGATCCCTCTTCACTCCCTTCCCTCTCTAGCGATACCTAAAACCCCTGTGTCTGTGTGATGGGCTGGAGCCCAGTTGGTGAGTCCTCGATGATATCTCGGTCACGTGCGCGAGGCGCACTGTGCACAGATTCCGGGTGCCCCCCCTGAGCACCCGGATTCTGCGCAAGCGAGCCCGGCAGAAGGTTATCCCGAGCCGCCGCCCCCTGAACGACCTTCAGAACCCTAGCTACCTGTAGTTCTCTTCTCTATCGAATACAACTCCAGTATACCTGTGCGATAGCTCCCTGAGCGTAGCCCCTTACAGTCTGCTCCTTTTATCTATTAGCTTATCTATTAAGCTATGTAGGCTTATACTTAGAACTACACTCCTCCTTATTAAGCTGCAAACTTAGTTTACTACGGCTGTCACGAGATGCTACGAGCACGTGTTTAAGAGCTTACTAGAAGCGTTAATTGTGGCTACGTACGATATCTGGTGTAATACAAGACGTTGCGTAAGGAAACAGAATTAGCATGTACAGGCGGTGAGAAGTTATCGATGGGGGCCGTGCGCATGGCGCTAGGCCCGGCCGGCCAATCAGCAGAATTCGGGTGCTTGGCGGAGCACTCGGATTCTGTAGCGCGTTCAGTGTCAAGGGAACCACGGTGGTTACCGTGACAACGGCACTTTTCTGTATTTTCGCTCGTAAGCCGAACAGCAACACAAAGTACGTTATCTGCTTAGCTCGTTCACAATCTAACCCTTTCTTAACCTGTCTAACTACTAGACATCTTCTGTCTATAATCCCCTTTCCCTAACAGTATACCCTCTATTTCTGTCTTTAACCTGTCTAACACCTGTAGCTCGCCTTCTCTTTTGCTTGCAAGTTAGCGTACAATGTCAGTACCTTGTTCTAATAGGCCCGTCGTAGCTACGGAATTACTACTATCCGAGAGCCGCTATAGGCATAGCTAACTGCGGCTGACCTTTTTCTTACCCTGCTCGCTTCAGCTGCACATGTGACTACGGCTTATCAGCCGCACACGTGACTATACCCCAATCGTAAGCCTCTCTACGTCACAGTACCAAAACAAGACGTCTTACCTCGCCGCCTTTCCTCTTTCAATCTTCTACTGTGCCACTTCAGCCTCGTGGCTGTGCTACGCCTAGGCCTAGTTGACCTTACCCTCTTCTATTTACAGAACTAAGAAGGGAAACAAGCTAGCTAGATCCTACTACATATACTACAGACAATCTGCTATGCAGATCTATCATCGCACAGCTTCCTACGCCCGCAGCTTTGTTTACACAATCTTCCCAACACAAACCTCGCCTTAGCTCTCACTATGCGCTTCTCTACCTCTGCCGTCGCTCTCGCCGCCGTCAGCCTCACCTCTGCTCTACCAACCAACACGTATCCCTCTACTCCTACTAGCTGCATAACTTCAGTCTCTTCTTCTACAAATTGCAGCAGTGCAACTCCCACTCCTCAGCCATGCAAGCTTTCGTGTCCGCCTCCGCCCAGCTGCAATACTTCCTGCCCGCCTCCGCCCGACTGCCACAATTCCTGCCCAACCCCACCAGTAAACACACCATGCGGCAATCCTACAGGCTCTAACATTATCAAGCCTAGAGTCAACTCCCTGTACGAGGTCTGGACAGGCGCAGTCCGTCACAACACGACCAAAGGCAAGATCTTCAAGGATGGCAAAACCACCGACATTACCACCCTCCTTACCTTTGACTTCCCTCCTGAGTCTGCAGGCAAGACGTGTAGCTTCCACTTTGACCTTGCTTCTGATGCGTCAGCAAAGGTCTCTGGTACTGGACAGTTTGACGTGTTTACCGCTCTTGCCCCTGCTGCTAGCAGCACGTCTTCCTGGCCCTCAGGCAACCTAAGGAACCAGCATCTCGGTCGTATGACTGCGCAGCGCAGTGGCGCAGCAACTTGGGTATCCGGGTTCCCTGCTCTCGGCCAGGGCTTTCCTTGTCCGGCTGGGAAAACATATGGTGGAGAGTTGGTGGGCGTAGGCGACGCTGATTTTATCGAGTGGCTCGCTGGAACATCAGGAGCATCTATTCAGTGGTGTTAGCAGAAGATGTTAGCACTAGTCTTAGCAAGCTATATTGGCGTGCAACTGTCGTCTATAATGGCGTTTTAGTAATTAAAGAGCAATTCAAACGTACTGTTAAGCCAGCTATACATGTCGCTCTCTTCGCCTTAATTATGGTAGCTAGGCTCTGCGTTCCGCTCGGTCCTAACCTCGGTAGTACATACGGATTATTACCTTCTAACTTCTATCTTTAAGGCGCTTTTTTAAGCAAAGTTCGCTATCACTACACTCGCCTAGTGGGTGTTTTCGAGCCCCAAAGTATACCCAAAACCCGAGGAAGCTGTGCCATTCGCGACTGACTGCTCGATATTCTGAACTCCGTGCCTTGACATGGCCCGGAGCGTCCTGCAAACCTCGCGCGTATACCGTGCCAGCGATCCATGAACCATGCGTTGCTTGTTCGTCGGCGAGTTTCTTATCAACACCGTAGTCTCGCTTAAAGCCGCCGCACGACAGGTGTTGGCGGGATATTGCAATTGCGAGATGCCGATATGTCAGGATGCCGAGTGCTGTGTCGAGGTACAGACGCGCCTCTCGTGAAATCACTCGCGTGAGCCGGCTTGAGTCCCAGGCTTCGTTTTCCTTTGGCCAAAGAAAAGTAGAAGGCGGATCCTTCCGCTTGTACACTAGGATATCAAGCTGCTGCCAGAATGGCAGGATGAGCCAAAGGTAGTACACCAGCAACTCGCTCACCTCTTTTGGCAGATATCGATGGATTATCTTCGTTGATCCAGTAATATTGTAGCCCTTATGGTATGAGGTAACTGTACTGATCAAGCCTTCTTCAATGAAGATCCCGCGGTGCTGTCCCTGAGCGGTATTGCTATGCTGCAACCCTATGAGCTCCGTGCCGCGTGGTGGCTGCCCACCCGTCATGTGGATGAGCAGGAGGAACCGCTCGAGGAACTGGTCCACCTTCTCAAAGTACGCTTGCACTGCCTTCTTCTTCCCCCGAAGCTGGGATTCTGGGCTCATATCAACCATCTCGTCCCTCAGCCAGTCGTTCTCAAGTACTCTGTCAAGCAGCCATCTGTCGCCGCCCTCACGAAGCTGGTCTGCATTGCGCTAATCCTTGAGGAAATTCCAACCTTTCTTCCCGCAGCTGGGATCATCGTGAAGTCGATGGAGATGGGCCAGTGGCACTACATCGTCGCGACTCTCGTCGGGATGCAGAAGGAATAATCCTTCAAGCTCTTGTTGGGCCTTGTTGACTTGTATTGCGACAAACTTTCGCAATGCATCCATGCTGAAGCCCGAGTCCTTGTATGTGACGGAGCTTCCATCGTCTGACCAGGCGATGTAGCCAAGCGATGTTGTGTTGCTCACCACCTTTTTCGCGTACGATCGCAGTCTGCATGCCCAGTCGAAGGCTGTCCGAGATCCCCGCACCATAAAACGCTCTCTCATCTCGTCCAGCATGTCCGACGGGTGTTCGACTTCTCTCTCTTCCGCGGCGACTACCGATCGCTGTACGACAAGCATCTGCGCCATCTTGATGAACTTGGATAAATCAGGCGAATAGCTGAGCGGGCCGCGAAAGACGCCACCGGGGTTCTTGTCAATGCCTAAAACTGCGAGGAAGCTTAACACTACGCTCTCGAAGTGGTCGCCTTGAAGTGTGTGGTCGAGCAAAGCAATGCATAGTTGCAGACATGCTCTGTCAAGGTTGCAAACTACCTCTTCTACTCTTTCTGTGGGCGACTTAGGACATCCTGATAGGCGCTGGAGGGACGAGAGCTCCTTCGCAAGGCGCATAACCCGATCTAGGTGGAACAGCTGAGCATTTGTGAACCTGTGTAATAAGGGAACGTTGTGGCTTGGCTGACTCGTTCGGTATACAAAGCAGAGAAGGCGCGTCCAGATACTCTTGTACGCACGGAACGTGCTCTTCTGCAGTTTGACCATGAGCATACGGTCGTGCTTGCCTGAACGGCCAGCAATGAAGCAGTTAATTTGTGCCTGGTCGAAAACGCTGATTTTGTCCTCGCAGATAGATTGGTGAGCGCGCTCAATAAGTCGGTCGAAGCTCTCTGAAACGACGATAAGGGCAGGCTCGGTGATCGGATTCGCTGCATATGCTAGTGGGGCGATGTCAGCCATGTGCAAGCCATTAAAGTAGCGCGGCCATCTAGTCATTTCAAGCCAAGGCGATACTTCAGTCTTAGAGACCTGTCTGTTATAGATCTTCGCTCTAGCATCTTGCTCGCAGGTCCCTACCGTAAGCTGCTTCTCGATCAAGGCTCGGAAGACGTCGGCATGCCCTCTTGGTCTACTCTTCACCAGCTCTTGTACTTGAGTAGGTACGTGGACTGTAAAAAAAGAGCTCTGATGACACGAAGCAAAAAAGCGCTGGCAGTAGACCTCTCTATACATTGGTCCCTTGTCTTCTTCTGGTATAGTGATCGACTTTGCTGGCCGACCTTTCTTTCGGGGTAGGATCCGGTGCTGCCGATTAAAGTGCTTCTCTAGCAATTTGTGGCTAGACTTAGAGCGAGAGACCGCATAGTCGCAGCGACTGCACTGGTAACCACGGTAGAGCTTTAGGTCTGGAAGAGGTAGGTCTGTGGGCAGCGGTCGTGGAATCGCCTGAGTCCTTGGATCAAGCAGGCTGTATTTCTCTTTCAGGCATTCGGCGATGGTTTTGGCTGCTTTGTGTACGCGAAACTTGGCAAAGTCAAGGCCTGCATCACGACACGCCTCATGAGCGTGTAGGCTCCTGATATGGCTGACAAGATGCAGAGGCGCAACAGCGTGGGCGCACGGCTTGCACACAAGGACTTGGTGCTTGGCATAGAATATGAAGAGATCCATTATTATTCAAGGCATAAGTGCTTAGTTATAAAGCGCAGGGCAACAAAGACGCAACAAGATATCTTAGGGAAAGGCAAGTGAGAGAAGTTAGTAGACACTATAACACAAGACGCGACTACCATTTAACACGCGACGCGACGCGACTTTGGCTAACGTAAGACGCAATGAGGGCGGCATGTCGGTTCTTACCTTTCGGGCCTTTAGCCCTGGCATAGAATGTGCAGAAGCTGAGGTTTGTTCGGTGAGACTTGATGAGGATGGGAGCAGCCGAGGATTTTGATGAGGCGAGGCGCTAGACATGGGTCTTGTACTTTGACGCTGCTTATTGGCTGACAAATGAAGTCTTGTAGCGTTGTATTAAGTCATAACGTGTTTTATAAGCGAGTCGTCCTTACAAGCGAGTCGTCCACCCCACCAACTTTGATCACCTTTGAAGATCAAATCAGTTATGCCTCAACGCCAACAAGCTCTATTGCGCTCATCTGAAGCTGATATGCAGCTTACTATATCATCTCTTAATAGCCACCAGATCAAGACTGAGAGAGCTGCTGCTCGCGCGTTTAACGTCCCTCGAATGACGCTACGCGACCGACGCGCTGGCAGGCTTGCACGACGCGATTGCCAGCCCAACTCAAAGAAGCTTACCCAGCTAGAGGAGGAGGTAATTATTAGACATATACTCGACCTTGATCAGCGAGGATTTGGGCCTACGTATACAGCTGCGCGCGATATGGCTAATAAGCTGCTTGCTGCGCGTGGCGCAGGTCGCGTTGGCGTCCACTGGCCGCGCAACTTTGTCAAGCGTACAGACAGTCTTATGACGCGTTTTAATCGATCGTACGATAGGCAGAGAGCTCTATGCGAGGATCCTGTGCTAATCAGCCGCTGGTTTAAGCTGGTAGAGGAGACAAAGGCCAAGTACGGCATCTGTGATGAGGACGTCTACAACTTTGACGAGGCTGGCTTTATGATGGGCAAGATCCAGACTCAGCTAGTTATCACAGGGTCAGAGAGGAGAGGCAGGCCAAAGACTATCCAGCCTGGCAACCGCGAGTGGGTGACGGTAATTGCTGCAATCAACGCTGCTGGCTGGACAATCCCACCGTTCCTCATCTTTGCTGGCAAGTATCACCTGTCAGCCTGGTACGAGGAGGATATCCCACGCGACTGGGCTATCGCAGTTAGCGACAACGGCTGGACAACCAACGAGATAGGAGTAGAGTGGCTAAAGCACTTTATTAAGCATACTGAGGGCAAGGTAGTTGGAGCACGCCGCCTGCTTATCCTTGACGGCCACGAGAGCCACCAGTCTCTTGAGTTTCAAGAGCTCTGCAAGGAGAGCAATATCTACACGCTCTGCATGCCAGCTCACTCATCTCACCTACTGCAGCCTCTGACGTAGGCTGCTTCTCGCCTATGAAGCGCGCGTACAGCCGTGAGATTGAGGCTCTAATGCGCTACAATATCAACCATATCACCAAGCTCGAATTCCTGCCAGCCTTTAAGGCAGCCTTTGATCGATCGTTCACCTTAGCCAATATCTGCTCAGCTTTTCGAGGCGCAGGCCTAGCCCCTCTCCAGCCAGACGCTGTTCTATCAAAGCTCAACGTGCAGCTGCGTACGCCTACTCCACCAGCTGCTCTCGCAGAGCCTCCCTGGGAGGCTCGTACACCAAGCAACGTACGTGAGCTTGAGGCTCAATCAACGTTAATACGTGATCGCGTGCGGCAGCATAAGAGCTCATCACCAGCCTCGATTATTGAGGCGATTAACCAGCTTAAAAAGGGGCTGAGGTGATGATGCTCTCAGCCGAGCTTATGCGCGATCAGATTACCTGCCTTGAGAGAGCCAACGAGGCAGCAACGAAGCGTAGGCAGCGCAAAAAGAAACGGATACAGAAGCGTGGGACCTTAACAAAGGGAGAGGGAGAGGATATACTAGCTCAAAAGGAGGCTGACCAGCAGATTGAGCGTGAACAGCGTCAAGGTGGTGAGCGATCAGGCCTTAACCGCCAGGCTATTGCGCGCTGCAGGAGGTGCAGGGAGACTGGGCACAACTCACGAACGTGCAAAAAGGATGCTGTAGATACTATTTAATCTACTATATTAATCGCTTTGTTCTACCTTATTACGTTGTTGCGTTGCGTAGCTTTGAAGGTGATCAAAGTTAGTGGGGTGGACGACTCGCTTGTAAGGACGACTCGCTTATAAAACACGTTATATCTTAGATATCATCGAGAATTCACTGACTGGGCTCCAGCCTATCACACACACTTCCATTCTCATTAAGAAGTCTTCCCCCTACGTGCTGCTTTAATCCTAAGAGCGGCAAGAATTTTAACCCATGCGAGAACTCCCGTCTCCGCATATTCTAACCCATTAGGGTTTGTGATATCTTTGCGGTAATAGAGCTTCTTATCTTGAGTGTAGAACATAGCATTCTTTTTACCTTTGACATTCCTAAGCACAGGTGCATAGCTCCACGCTTTGTAAGTATCTAGTTCTAGTTTGTCGCCGTTGTAGTAGGCCGCCCAAATCTCATCAGTTGACGCTTGTAAGGCTTCGCGAATTTGGAGCATGTTCTTGTGATTTACTTCGTCGAACAAACGCTTATCTCCGTAAGCTTCCTAAGTCTGGTTAGAAGGGCTGTTGACATCAATCCTGTAGAGATTATCCTCGTCATGCATTGCCTGAATATTGGCATCGCATAAAGTTAGTTTCTATCGATACTCTCGAGACTTGTGAACTAACCTTGGCACATCCATCTTTAGCCCCCAAATGGTCAGTTAGAAATCGCCTTGGCGTACGGAGATGTCCTGCCGAAAATGAATCTTCCAAAAAGTGATCGGCGAAAGCGTTCATCGCGTAGGCTCTTTCAAGGTTCTTGTTCAATGCCTCATTGATCGCAACAGCATAACCGGCGTTGTAAGCAGTCCGCGCATCTTGACTAAAGTGGTCAAAGTTGATCTTGGCAAGGTTAATGTAGGTCAGACCATCGGTCAATCCTATGGCGGTGATAACCTGTAGCTTCATGTTGTCGAACATACTACTAAGTCGGTCATAAGTCTTTGACACTTCAGAATCACCTTTATCGTATGCAGCTTGGATTTGCTTTGACTCGTCCGCCAAGAAGTCTACTAACTGGGTCAGAGCCTTTTTGTTCGCCGGATTCGCTAGGTCGGCAAAGGCCTGTCGAAATCGTGTCTTCTGCTCTTCGAACGTTGTCCCTAGACATATAGGTCCTTTAGTACTAAAAAAGTCGGCTGCAAGGCCATTGATCATACCATAAGTAGTCGCCATGCCGTCGTAGAGTTTGAGCGGATTCGTCTTGGCACATATAGTAGATCCAGTATCGTGACCTTGAAGATGTAAAGAGTCACCGAGCTAACAATGCTCGTAGTATTCATAGGGGAGAGGCTCTCCATCCTTTGGCTCTTTATGACCTGGTGGGTTCAAAGTTCCGGCAGTGGTGATATCCTCGAGTTGACTTCGCGTTATTGAAATCCCAGGGGATGCACAATGACTAAGCACGTTTTCTAGCTGCTCTGAAGTCAATTGAGAAACCAGTTGATCTTCTGGTGGTGTGGCAGAAACTCCAGAGGGAGTAAGTGTTTGAACAAGAAAAAGAATAATACATCGCCTACTTGTTAACGGGAGTAGATGTAGATGTAGGCATCTTCTAGATTTCGAAAAGTATGTGTGCTTTGGTGCATGAGCAATGTAAAAGTTCTAGAGAGCTGTAAAGGTGTGCGGATGGTCCATGATTTATAGTGCTATCTGCCAGAGGCTTACAGACCACCAAGCTGTCTAGAGGGTAAGTCTGGATAGAGTGACACGCATAGTCGAGCTGAAACTACATGCAGTCTTTCACACTAGTACCCTTTTGATACATGCTGGATACATCTAGTTGAACGTCCAATCATATGTAGACACGTCGTGATGTGGCGCTGGTCAGCAGTGTGGTCAACAAACCGACGGTTTGACCGACCGATTCAATCGGTTTGATTAGTAATCAAACCGACCGACGGCTGGTTCGTTATCAAACCGACCGACCGATAAGCGCGGTCGGTTTGACTGCGTTTGGGTCGGTTTGACATAGCGGATTTGGTATGGCTATTATCGGTACGAGGGGCTTCTCGGGCCATTTCCTAGTATAGGTAAACAAACGAACTTTCTAGAAACACCCTCCAAATTTAATTTGCTCGTCCATGCTGTAGTTGTATATCGCATCGTCCATCTCCGTACGCCCCATTTCTATAAACTTCTTTATTTAGCCAAATATTGTCGCTTCGATATGACCTCTAGCAGAGGCACTAGCCCTGCCATATCTTCTCTTCCATCTGGCTCACAGGTTGCTCGCGTCGATGACGCTTCCGAGACGTCCCTGACATCCTCTGAGTCTGTATCGATCGACAAGGAGGTTCGATGCGAGTTTGATATTGACTGGACGAATACCTGGCACGGCTCGATGCGGCTTAAAGGCGCAAGTTAAGGCCTCGCCACAGGCGAGTGGTTAACACCAAGGCCAAAGAATCATGGATATTCCGACATGGCGCTAGCCTGGAACACGAAGGAGCGCGGTATTGGCTCTATAAGCTTTGCCACCTGAAGAAGAGTTACTCAACGGCTCTGTATTCGGCCGCTGGCACTTCTCACGCAGCGAAGCACTTGATCCGTGAGCACCGCATCTCTCCATCCGGTGAGCTTCCAAATCTGCCTGCCAATCCCTTTTTACTTGCGGCGTCGTCAGTAACATGCAGGGCGCCTCTATCGCGTCAGTCTAGTGCTGGATTAGGGCTTCCTTCGCGTTTTAATGAATCCATGTGGAAAGCCCGGTTCGTCGACTGGATTATTCTGGAAGACGTCACTCTTCGTCAGGCATCTAGCAAGCGTCTTCAGTGGCTAATACGGAACGGCGGCGAGCTCGCTAGTCAGTTACTGCCCGAGTCTCACGCGTCTGTATCAATTTGGATTTATGATGCGTTCCAGAGGCGCGGGAAGATCGTCTTCGACCTGATCAAAAACGCGAAAAGTTTGGTGCGCTTAAGCTTTGATTTATGGACTGCTTCTAATGGGTTTAACTATGTTGGCATTGTGAGCCACTTCGTCGACGGCAAGGGCTTGAAACGTGACGTCCTTATCGGTCTGCCACGCGTGATCGGTCCGCATTCTGGCGAGAATATCGCGACCTATATTAAAAAGGTTATTAATTGCTACGAGCTGGGTTCGAAGTTAGGCTACTTCGTCCTTGACAACGCCAGCACCAACGATACATGCCTAGAGGCTCTTGCGCTATGGTTTCCTATAGACGTCAACAAACGACGCTTGCGTTGTATCGGCCATATCATCAATCTCGTTGTACGAGCAGTTATCTTCGGTGAAAACGTAAGCAAATTCGAGGACGAACTTCGAGGTGCCAGCGACGAAATCTGCTTCGAAATCTGGGCCCGAAAAGGGGCTATCGGCAGACTCCACAATCTTGCCACCTATATCCGTCGGTCAGATCAACGGCGACAGGTCCTTCGAGATCTTCAAGACGAGCTTGCGAGCGACGATATGATATTCACTATTGACCTTGTTATTGACGGCAAAACGCGCTGGAATTCAGTATATCTTATGGTAAAACGTGGTGAGTTAATACCTTAGGCTTGCAGTCCTTCTGTAAGCCCAGGGTACCTTGCATGGTCGCGTGGACTATTCAGCGGCCAATCAGCCCACTACTCTATGTATATAAGCTTAGATCACAGACCTCTCGGTGATGAATACGCAGAATACACACAATCTACTTACAAACTTAGACTCATTTCGTTACTACTCGGGATGAGACCACTCGGGATGGCACCACTCGTAATAGAACCGTACGAAGATCATAACTTCTGTAACTTGAGCGGCAGTAGTGTAGATCTGAGATGTAGAAGGGCCGGGAAAAGCGAGGCGGATACAGCGCACGGGCATCTGCTGGTACCAGTATGACATCACTTAGCCAGCCAAGGCTCACTTGCGGCTCTGAGCTAAATTCAGCCGGTCCATAGCAGAACGCCGGTTCCGCACCGCACAGAAATCAACTTTTGGACGACTCAAGACAACAGCATCAGAACACACCTGCCAGCGGCCGCAGCGGGTCTCTGCAGGCTGTCACGCTCCCCTCCATCGATTTGGTACCGGCATAGCCACCGTTATGGCCACGGCAGGGTCGGACGAACAAACTGCCCGCACGCCATCTATTTAGTCGTGATGTAGCAATAGGAGATGCGACGACGGAGCCCAAACACTCTCTGGCACAATAGTTACAACACAAAGAACAGCCACCGAGGGGCTTTCTGGCCAGTCCATCGCCGACCAACAATGCTTGCGACGTCCCACATCGACAAGCCTTCGAGCCGAACGACACCACCTCCCTCGCGAATCGAGCCTCAAACATACCCGGCATGCTACGATCGGGGCCACAACATACAGCAGTAAATCAGAAAGCCTTGCCCACTGGTCCGTGCCTCAAGCATGGCGCTACGGGTTTATCCACGATTGGCCAGCTCGGCGGCAAGGCTGTACAGAAATAGGGGATACAAGTGATCATTTTGAAACCTAAATATAGCTCTTATGTCGGTGAATTAGAGGTCAATCACGTTGCTCAGAGTGTTCATCGAAGACATTCAACAGTGGGAGTTGCGTACCGGGACGTAGATTCCTAAGCGCTTCTGCCGTACGTGACCCCAAATCCTGTCTTCTAGTCCCCCGTCTAAGCAAGCCTCCCGTGCGTGCGCCCAGATCCAGGAAGGTGCATCGCCCTTCCCCAGCTTCCACCCGCCTAAGTGTTCCTCCCGTGCGTGCTCCCAAATCCTGTCTTCTAAGGTGCGTCCCTGGGTGCAGAGACACACCCTGTTAAGAGACAGGTTTGCAGTTCGGACCTCCGGCGTCACTCCCTGGCAAGTTCGTGAAGTCGTCGTTGGTTTGGTGCAAATCTATGCCTATTTCTCTTTTAGGGCACGAGTCTCCGACGCGGATCGATGCAGTAGTGGTCATGCTGTCGATCGTTTCGCCAACGCCGTCAAATGACCCTTTAGTGATGCCTCCTGTCTGCTCGGAACTCAGAGAGCCTCTTTAAATATCGGAGAGCTTAGGAGAAAGCGAGATCAAGAAAGATAGCATTGCTGGGCTTTTTCGATTACTTCGATGCAGGAGCGTGCATGCCGGGCGCCCCGAAGGACGGGGGAGGAGATCCCTGCAGGCGGGTTCGAGCTCGCGGGATGGATTAGTGCATCCTAGCCTGTACTACGCTTTACTAGCGCATCTACGTGCATCTGTATTATACTGTAATAAAACTAACGCTATACCGGCTGGTGAGATTTGTCCCCCCGTTTTTGAGATTTGTCCCCCGCGCTAGTGCTAGTGGAAATCAGCTGCCTAACTTAGCTTAGCGCGTAATCCACGAACGCGAGACCTGCGCGAAACCTGCGCGTCTCTGCAGCACATGAAATCGTCCACATCTCTTTTAGTATTAGGATCGTTTTCACTTCCTCTAGCGCCTAAGTATAGAAGACATCCAGCCACCTCCAGATCTTTTATATGACTCCTACGAAGAAGCGTATAATGCTCTTAAGGCGCATGGCATGCAACACGGTTACGGCTTTGTCCTAAAACGGAGTAAACCTCACAATTCCGATGTTAAAACACGATATTACTACCACTGTGACCGATTTCGGAAGTACCAGTCAACCGCGAAGATACTGAGCACAAGCACGCGCTCAACAGAATGTCCCTTTAAGCTGGTCATCTTTAAGACGAAGCACAGCGACCGGTGGAAGCTAGAGGTTCAGGATAAGCATCATAACCACTCTCGATCCATTAACCCAAGCGCGCACAACGTCTATCGCAGGCGAACGTCTGCACAAAAGGAAGTGATCGAATCGATGACGCATGCTGGCGCGCGGCCAATGCAGATCCTAGCTGCAATCCAAAAGGAGGACCATGACACGCTAGTCTCTGCTACCGATATCCGGAGCGAGAGAAAAGCAGTTCGAGAGAAACAATTGAGTGGAAGGAGTCTAATCGAGGCGTTGCTGGACAACCTATCTACGTCAGACTGGGTCTTCGCGGTCAAGAAGGATGACAACAACCACGTCCAAAACCTCTTCTTCGCCCATCAGAAGCAGATTGAGATGCTGCGGGCCAATCCCGATGTGCTGCTGATGGATTGTACCTACCGGACCAACAAGTACAAACTTCCACTACTGCACATACTCGGCTGCACCAACTTGCAGACTTTCTATTCTGCAGGCTTCTGCTTCCTTACCAATGAGACCCAAGCTGATTACCATTGGGCGATCGCGAACTTTCTCCTCAAAACAGGTGTACAAAAGCCCCGTGTGTTTATTAGTTATCAAGAGGAAGCATTAAAGATGACAGCTCGATCGTTGCTCCCAGGAGTTCCTCAACTCTTGTGCGTGTGGCACATCAACAAGAACGTTCAGACGAAGGCGCAACAGACTTGGCGAGATGCCGATGGCGTGACGAGAGAGGAGAAGAAGAGGATCGCAGAATATAGGGCTGGGTTCATGAAGCGCTGGACGCAGGTATGCCCACCCTAACTCTACAATACATCGAAGGAAGCTTTCCTTCGAAGCGTCTTACAAGTTTTTCGCAGAACTGACTCGAGCAGCTTGTCTACGCAAAGAGACCATTAGAGTTCCAACTTAAGTGGGATGAATTACTCAAGGACTACAGCCACCAACAAGAACTTTGCAGGTACCTGCGAGACAACCAATATCTCACACGCACAGAGTGGGCAGCCGCTTGGATTTCGCACCACCGACACTATAACACTATTACAAGCTCGCCTGTCGAAGGGATGCACAAGGTCTTGAAGGACTATCTTATGACCTCAAGAGGCGATTTGCTGCGTGTCGTTGGGAGAATTGAGCAAATGGTCAGGAGCCAATACAACAAATACAGCAAGGACATTGCTTCTTCTAAACACAGTGTTAAGTTTGAGCATAGACTAGAAGCAATGCCATTCCTGCCTCCTGGCATCCACAACGTCTTGACGCCGCCAGCGATCGAGCGCATCAGGCAACAGGACCTTCTCCGCCAGAAGGAGCAGAGACAACATCAGGGCGGACACCCTTGTTCAGGCCTGTTCGAAAAAACGAACGGTCTTCCATGTCGCCATACGTTGCAAGAAGTGGCAGTGGCTGGATCGACCCTACGACTGAGTCATCTGTACGACGATCATTGGCGCTATCAACGCGACCAGGGACCGTCATTTTATTTGTCTTCAAGGCCACACTCTTCTGTCCTGGAACCACTCATCGCTCAAACAAGAGGCGGGCCAAGAAGGAACGACGCATCGACTCGTCGGAATCCATCAGCCTTCGAACAGCGTGTGCCGCCTTCCGTTCCTCGGTTCCAACCTCACTATCAACCGCAAGGTCAGACACTTGCTGAAGCTTTGCAAGAAGCCAACACCTCTGTCACTATATCAGTCCCTACACCTGAACCAGGGATAAATCTAGTCACTACCTGCATATCGGTATCGATTCCTGCCCCTGCCCCTCTACCTCCCCCACTTCACTTCGCTTGTCTCCACCTGTCGCTGTTGCTGGGTCTGTAACTGTGACTCCGCCTCCTGTCTGGCAACCTCCGACGTTAGAAGAATTTCTAGCGGACATTGAACGCCGAAAGTCCCAGCCTGTTCTATATGATTGTAATGACATGATCTCGGCGACCAACTTTCTGGCGCAAACGGGTCAGGAAGGAGACCCGGCAGAGTTAGTAGAAGCACGAAATATGGCTCTAGCTTCGCAGGGACTTCTCAGTTCATGTACACCAACTATGGCTTAGAACTATCATTTTGGGGATATGGAAGCCTTCTATGCTGAGAGATTCGCGCAGGTCGATGCTCAGAATGCGCTCAATGAGCCTCAAGAGGTGCCTACACCGCGGCCCAAACGTGCTGCAGCGGTGGCGGCTCCTGAGGCCTGGAAGAGCCTTGGCCCGCGCAAGAAGCGTCGAGAATAGTAGTTTATAAGTTAACAATATAAACAACTTAGCTTTAATCTTCTTTTAAAAGGTTGAATAGTGATACGCATTAGTTACTATAATTTACGCTCGCGCTAGTACACATGTGATTAGCGCGGGGGACAAATCTCAAAGGGGGGACAAATCTCAAAAACGGGGGGACAAATCTCACCAGCCCGCTATACCTAGGCCGTATCGCGCTCGAAATAAATGTGGCGCATGCTGGATAGCTTTCTAGAAGCATTTAAGTTAGAAGCAGACTAACAAGGGATAATACTTCAGCTTCGCTTGGCATACAGTAGCTTGCAGTAGCGTATGTAGATGTCTTTGTAGCTGTGGCGCACAGCGGCCTATGTGCTCGCTTAGGTTCTTTGTTCCCCGCCCAGCCCTGCCCGAGTTGCTGGGCGAGCACCCTCTTCCCGCCGTTCGCACACTCTTATATAGGAGCTTACAACCCTATAGCTGGTGCGGATTAGCTATCTTCGTTACTAGCGGTGACGACGTTAAGTACCAATTATCTGAACTACTGTTAGACGTCGCTTCTAATCTCTAATATCTAAAGGCGCTGAGGCCGAGTACTGTAGTTATAGTGTTAATGAGCGGGAGATAAGTGGATAGAACGCGAGTGAGATCAGAGGAGCAACAGAAGGGCGGAAAGCGAACACTCTAGTAGCAGAAAACGGGTTCTTTGAAGATAGGCCATAGGCTTATACAACACTGCCAGCGGCCGCTGTCTACCACTTTACAGTCTCCAACACCTTAGCATCGCTCTCCTCCCACGGGTAGTCCTTCTCTGCTGCCCTAATCAACTGCTTATGCTTCTCCGACCTTGGCTTGATCGACGTGCGATACGGGACAGGGTGCGACACAACACCAGGCTCGAATTTGAGTTCCGGCTCCACCGTCTTGCCATTCTCGACCAGTTTCTCAATCTTGAACACTGCCAGCGTCTGGGCGATAGTCATGAACACCGCGTTGTCTGCTACGTAGCGGCCGGGGCACACGCGCCGACCATACCCGAATATCCAATTGCGCGGGTCGGGCTCGGCTTTGTGGGTGGGTGTGTCGAAGAACCGTTCTGGGAGGAAGGTCATGGGTGAGGGGTACACGGAGGGGTCGTGCGTGAACCACCTGTGGTTTTGTCAGTCGGCGTGTGGATCTTGAGTATGAGGTGAACATTACCAGTTGTTTGGGAGCAGGAGCGCGCCCTTCGGGATTCTGTAACCTTGGATGACATCTTCCTTAGTGCTGCAGTGGGGTAGAGCCATGGGGGCAACAGGGTGCCAGCGGTGTGTTTCTTTCATGACTGCTTCGATGTATGGCAGCTTCTCGCGGTCAGCGGTGACAGGTAGACGGCTCCCTCCGATGACATGGTCAAGTTCCTCTTGAGCCTTTTTCTGTACTTCCGGGAACAGTGTCATGGCCAGGAAGAAAGTCATTAGGGAGGAGACAGTCGTGTCAGCGCCGCCCAAGTACATGGAAGACGCCGACCACTTGTGGATACGCTCCATCTCCGGATCGGAGCCAATGTTCTCGATTGCCTGAGACAGGAAAGAAGTTTTGTGCTTCTTTTCACGCATTTGCTGCTTGACGAACTCGTATGGCTGCTCCGTAGTTTGCTTTAATTGAGCAGCCATTTGATGAGCTGTGGCCTTGAAACCTGTTCCAGGCATCCAGTCCGGTACATATCTCACTTGTGGTGTCAGATCCCTTTTGTGCGTCTGCTTGTGTGTACTTACAGAAAGGCATGATATCCACGGCCCACTTGCCAGGCACCGTTGCTTCAGCGAATCCTTGCATAGTCCTGCCGGCCATGTCAACAAAAGGGTCCTCGCCATGCGCATTGGCTGTGTAGCCATAAGTGATCTTGAGTATAACAGCGCCAGCTTCCCTTTTGATGTGATCAAACAAATTTTCCGGAGAGTCCAACACATTGAGGAGGAAGTGAGCGGCTTCTGCTTCCTGGACGCGATCGAACACTTGGAGAGACACACTGCTGCCGGCAACCTTGGCAATGTTCTTGCGATGAAGCTTAAAGGTGTCTGTATAGCCGCTGAAAGCAAGTGTGTTTTTCCATCCAATCCTGGGCGCTCTGTCAATGTTCTGTGCAACTGCGTTCTCTTTGGGACTAAGCATACATCTCACTACTGAACACCATGTGCGGGCGGGCGGAGTGTATAACCGATCGGTCTCTCAAGAGCTCAAGCGCAATTTGCGCATCATTGATGATCACAAAGGTCTGACCCAATACTGTAACAGAACTTATTGGGCCATAAAGATCCTTATGCTTTAACCAATGGTGGCACTCCAGCATTCCGGGCTTCGGCAGGTCATTGACATTACCAAGAATCGGGATGCCTTTGGGACCCGGAGGTAGCGGTCGGCAATGATTATTCGATCGCACCAGGCGGTTGACCAGGTACGCAGCGATGATTCCGAGAAGGACAACAAGACCAGTAGACGACGCGAAAGCCATCCTGAACGCAGCATTCCAAGAGACAAGGTTTGAGAACATGCAAAAAGAAAGTCAAGAATACAGCGCTAAATCGCGATTGCCCCTGGAAGTTGGGGTTATTCTTGGCAGTCGAGAACGAAGACTCGAGACCCCTATTACCGACGGTAGACCTCGGACGGTGGAAGGCGGCATGAAGTCAACGCTTGCGGCACGGAAGTCTCCTACCGATGGCGGAAGTTGTGGAGGAGCTTCAATCCGCCTTGGCTGATAAGTGCCATTTCCTGTTCCAATCGCAAACGGGAGTGACATCTTTAGTGGCGACACGGGTTGGAGCGAGGCTTCGGGCCAGGAGCCGCAGGCCGCGACGAAGCGTAGGATAGGGGTATCCACACCGCTTACTATGGTATCAGGCAAAAGTTTTGTATACGGGCCACTAGTAGGGGTCTATTTTAACAGGGGCTTAAGTCACGTGCCCTCGCACAAACATAATTATGTAAATTATTTTGACTGGTGGGGAGCAGCCCGAAACCCCACTTGACTAGCGTCTCCACGTACAAAACTCTTGCCTGATACCATAATATGACACCAGTGATTGCTTGGGGCATAGTGCACAGGTCAGTGACTGCCCAGGCCGGCCTAAACGCCTGTCACAAGCAAGGCAACAGACTACCTTGCCGTTGGGCTACAATCCCTGCTGTGTTGCACGCCAGGCTGTATGCTCGCATTAAACTAGCGGGCACAAGCTTGCTAAAGCGGGGAACGGCCACCAAGCCGCTTCGGTCGTATTGCTTCACCGCAGATCTTCCCATCATGCCGATCGGCAGACCTCCGTAAAAAGCAAGAGTTCGACGAGGGGCATGTTTTCTTCCTCTTTCTGAAACGTGCTCCGTACGAGACGCTCCACATATATTAGGCCTAACGCCAACTCCTCAGACGTCGGGCAGCGAAACGCGCTCCACTGCATTAACATTATCGCTCGCAGACGACAAAGATGAGACTCAGCGTTCTCGTAGTATTCGCCTTTTTCTTGACAGGCACCTTCACCCAGCAAAACTTGTTAGACCGACTACCTGGCTGCGCTGTATGCTTACGTCCGCCTTTTCCATTCGTAACGGGACGCGACTGATTCAGAATACTAGTTGGAATGTCTTGAGGCTACTTTGCCTACGACGAACTGCTCACCAAGCGACGTCGACTGCCTCTGTGCCGATGCAAACTTCATGGCAGCTGCTGGCGCTTGTAATGCGGCCAACTGTACTGTGATCGAGATGCTACAGTCCACCAACGAGACTTATTCCGCCTGCGGCATTCTCGTACGCGACCAGTCTGCCACGTTGATGGGAATGGTCGCTTCTTTCGGAAGTCTGGCCTTGTTGATGGCTGCTCTGCGGGTGGCTGATCGAGCCATCTCCGCGCATGCGCAGCTAGGATGGGACGACTTGTTGATTAGTCTGTCAGGAGTATGCAACAATATCCTTACGTTGGCTTGTGTTGTCAAATATGCTGACGATTAACAACCTTTAGGTCTCGTCCATCGGAATGAATGCGCCAGTCATCGTAGCTGCTACTTTGGGTTTTGGAAGGGACATGTGGAGCATTCCACCTGACAATATCACCGCTAGCTTGAAGTGGCTGTATGTCGCCTACTTCATGTACCAGGTCGCCGAAGCCCTTTGCCAGCTCTCGATCCTCGCCTTCTACATCCGCATCATGGTCGACCCGAAGTTGCGGCTAGCTGTCTGGGTTCTGATAGGACTCGTCACCTGCTTCGGGCTTGGAAATACATTTGCCATGATCTTCCAGTGCATGCCCATTCCCTTCTTCTGGGACGGCTGGAGGGGGGAGATATCCGGTAGATGCGGCGTCAACGTGCAGTTGTTTGGCTTCATTCGAGGTGGCGTCGAGATCCTTCTCGACTTGGCTATTCTGATTCTACCTCTGCCCATGCTGGCCAAACTGAACATATCAAGGAAAAAGAAGCTCCAGATCATGTCCATGTTCTGTGTCGGTTTCATCATTACGATTGTCAGCTGCCTTCGACTCCAGGCCTTTGTGCAATTTGCTAAAACTCAGAACCCAACCTGTATGTGTCCACCCCAGCAGCGCTATGATCTTAACCGCTAATGTTATGTCTCGCAGACGACAATACTTCCGGTCTTTATTGGTGCGCGACCGAATCCAACCTCTTTACAATCGTTGCCTGCATGCCAGCCATGCGTAGTATCCTGCATAAGGCATCGAGGCGCTTCCGCGACATCGGCAGCTACGCAAGTAAGGGTCACTACGGCCGTGACGGCCTAGGCAAAGGGTCGTACTTGCGTCATGACTCCGAGCAGCAGCAAAGGTCTAGGTCTGGCAGTCTTCCATTTGGTGTAATCTCTAAGTCGACTGATGTGAACATTTACCACACAGAACGATCGGATTCGGATGTTGAGCTAGTTGATCGCCCACCTGGTACCTGAATTGAATACAGAGAGGTGCTCCAGTCTAGCACAAAATGCAATGAAAAAGAGCATCCTATGATTATTTCTCATTCTAAGTCAGATCCAGAAGGTGGTTACAAATTGCGATGCGGAGAGGTGTATATATAGTGGTGCCATAGCCGAGAGATCCCACTCAGGAGGATGATATCGTTATCGATAAGCAAGTTTGGGATGTTCTATCCCCAAACCCTTGCCGGTTAGCGTTCCAACTACACTCGTAGATCGACTAAATCTTCGCAGCCCGCGACCAGTTGGAGCATGTTCCCAGCCGGCCTATACCACGCTCGCTCCGCACACGCGCAGAAGTCTACCGCGTACGTTGCTCCACGAATGAGACGGTCGATGGTGGACGGATCGAGGCAACAACAAAGCGTTGGAAGGATGACGAATGACAAGGTCATCGAGCCAGAGGCATGACGAGGTCACGGTTGAGGTGGTGGCGCTTTGTAGCTCGAAGAATAACGTGCTAATGTCCGTCCCTGGGTCGCGAGACACACCCCGTGGCGAGACAAGCTGTAGGCACTTCGAGATCAAGCAACTATTATTTGTTAAGCGCTTTGGATTTTCGTGCGCTCTTCTTTTATATAGTTGTAGTCCTTCCCTAGACTGCTCCCGTCCTTGTGGACACGAAGATTACAGTAGCGTTGATGCCTGCGCGCCTGATAAGGTGAAGCTATTTATTATGCAAGAATCTAAGCCTACGCTTTGCAGCACTGCGCTTAACCCCTAGTAACCTCTTTGGGTAATAGAGTGACTTATCTAGGCTTCTACATGTTACCATGGGAGTAAGATGTTGCCATCAGCCTTGTGGTGATTGTGGCGCACATACTTATGCATAGTTGCTACCCTGGTTAGTACTTTAGATCGAAGCAGCTTTCTAACCCGAATGGTGCGACAGTAGACCCCACATTTCTTACGATTGGTATGTAATTTATTTTGCGTTGGAAAGCCGGTTCTTGTCGCTGTGCATTTCTGTGGCTGTGTAGCTCTGCATATCGCAGACTAACTAAGGATAGCTCTGTCTAGGTTGGCGCCAGGCCCGGGCACCTTCGAGCGTCCCAGTCGGATATCTTCAATCTGAGCCGAAAGTGTAGTGCGATTTCTCTCAGAGATGTTCCAACCCGGCTTCAGAATCTGATGAGCGCATCAATCGAAGAAGTAGCTTGGCATTATCAGAAAAAGCGCATAAATCGCAGAGGAAGCGCATCCCAAAGAGACCCGCTACTAATAGAATAATTAGAGGCGGCAATAAAGGCCGCATGAATGAAGAAGCAGCGACGGAGAAAAGTCGCCTTATCCGTGGCTCTCTACATACAAGTTGTTCACAGAATGGAATGTTGTACGTATGACGAGCTGAGGGCCACCGCCTTGGCCGACTAGCGATGATTGTTGATTCGCCACGGGTACAGTGTCCGTGCACCCAACGCCCGGAGTCACCGGACGCCCGCTCCGAGCCTTGAAGCCCATCACAGAGATGAGGCTACAGAGCCACGTACAATAATTATTACTACGAAAGTCTTTGGTGGAGTACTCTATAGACATATGCGATCAAGTTCCTCTATATATATTAGTTATATAAGGTGGCGGTGCGGCCGCTACGTGTAGTGTGGGTTCGCACGGGCGGAGGAGGCGTCGCAGGCTTCGGGCGACTACGAGCACCTACAGCACGACGCGCAGGCTTTGGTTTGACTACAGAAGCTTTTGAGGTTGTAGATTTGCCTCTTTGGGACTGTTGTATACCTTTTGCAGAGTCGCGAGCCTGTTTAGCAGCGGCTCTGGCAGCCTTCCGCGCGTCTATTGCTCGGCGTTCCTCTGCCTTAACCTTTGCACGCTCTTCCTTCTCCCTCGCCCGCTTTTGACGCTTCTCTTCCTCAATCTTCTCCTTGTATAGCTTATTAGCAGCTGCTAACTCCTTCATCTCTGCCTTTCTTAGCTCTTCTTCCTCCTTCTCTTGCTCAGTAACTGCCATGCGGACGCGCGCCTCTTGAATAGCTCGAGGAGACCACACTATCGCCCCGCCGTGATACTCCTGGTGCTGTTGCAAGTCTAATTGCCTGCTAGGTTGCTTCTGACGCTTCTGTTTTAGGTATAGCTTCTGCCGCAAGCCTTCTAGTTCGTTGTGAAGGAGCTCTACCTGTGTCGATAGGTGGTGGATAGTTTGGCTAAGCTTCCGTGCACCTGCACTGCGAGGATCCTTCACCTCTGCATGCAGTGTAGTGCAAGCTCTAAGCTAATCCTCTGCAGAATAGGCTGTAGAACTAGAAGAAACTGAGCCTGAGTCGCTAGGTGTTGCGTGGCGGAATCTATCCAGTATAACGTCAGGGTTCATCGGGCTTATCCCTGTGGCAGTGAAGGCGTTTTGTATAAGCTCTTCCTTAAATGTGTGCACCTAGGCAGGCCAGAATAGGTGGAAGAAGTCACCTTTCGTCAATGGCGATAGGCCTTGAGACTTCTGGAGGTAGTCATCGAGCTCGGAGGCGTAGGCGGAGGAGAGTGGCTTGAAGCAGACTACATCCAACGGCTGCAGCGTCTGTGTACTATGAGGTGGCAACACAGCGAGTATAATTCGATTTTGATCGCAGTAGTCAATGAAGTCCTGCGTTAGGTGACTCCCGTGGCCATCTACTATCAAAAGCCTGTAACTTCTGCGCGCCTTTGGCTTTGTATAGCGGTTAAATACCTGTTCAAGCCAAGCCAATCCAATATCATTATTTGTCCAGCCAGTAGGCGAAGAAGCCACGTGAATTGGGTGTGTTTCTGCCTCAATATCGGCCACCCAATGGCTCTGGATTGTGGAGTTTTTTGATGCGAATATGATGCCAGGAGGCAGAGCAGTACCATGTGCGCAGATTGTAGCCAACAAGCTCACCCACTCACGTGAGCCATCTTGACGAGCCTGCCTAACCTCCTTCTTCTCATATTGACGCCTACTGAAGATGCGCTTCGACCTTCCAAGTACCCCAATTGCGAAGCCCTTCTCATCCATATTGTACGTATTCTCTGGCTCAACGTCATACTCAGTGATCTTCTGCTGCAGTAGGTCAAAGTAAAGCTTATACTTATATCCAGACTCAGCGTTATGGCGATTGGAGTCCATACCCGTCGCCCAGTGGCAGGTGAGTCGGTCGCGGTGACGGTGCAGGAAGCGTGTAACCCAGCTATCAGAGCAAGGATCCTGGGCTACTTTAGACGCGAAATTTTGTACCATAGCTCTCGTAGGTGGCAAGTGACGCGCTGACAGTGTTTCTATATACTGCACAAGATCTGCTTGTTGTTGTGAGGGTGAGCTTGTTGGTTTGGGTCAGCGACGCCTGAGGGACCTGCACACCGCGGTGCGCGGGACAACGTTGTGCGCGAAACACCGTGTTTTTGAGCAATATTTGTATAGACAAGTTTATTGCCTGGGTCTAAATTACGAATCTCTGTAAGCGCATCTTGCAGGCCTGGCATGGTTGTTGAGTTGTTACGCGTTGAAATACTGTGTAGATGTTGCGTGCCGGGCGTTCAGTGACTCCGGGCGTTGGGTGCACGGACACTGTAGTCTTGGCAACCGCGCCGCTGCTGAGTCCAAGCGACCAGCTGCTGAGCACGACAACGACGGTTCCTCGACTTCACAACGTCACGCGACATGTTGCCATGTCTTCGCTGCAGGTCCCTTTTGTGCAGCATCACTACGTCACATCGCTCTCCAGTTTTGCACACTGTTCCCTGACACCAACCGGGAGGAAGCCCTTTGTGCTTGCGCCCTGCCCCGTTACGCTTTTGAAGCCTACCCAAATGCTAAGAACGTACGCATCGGAAGCAGAAATGATATCGGGAAATATGTGAAGCAAACACACATACACACGCACAAATATACACAAATCGTACGGTCTTCAAGCAGCAGAGTCGGTTGCAAGAAATCTGGCCAATTTACATCAATACCTACTGTCATATTACGAAATGGTTTCGAAGCGAGCAGCAAACAAGCGAAAACGGACCTCGAACACTCCCGTCCGAAACAAGCGACGTCGAATAACACAGCTCGCCCACACCAACGCCTCTGAACCCCATCGAGATCATGGGCCTACTAGCGAAATATTCTGGGCGGCGAGAAGGATCCTGAAGGACAATGGATCGTGTTATCTGGTCGAATGGGAGGGCATCGACCCAGGGACGGGACGTCCGTACGAGCCGACGTGGGAACCGCACGATTTTGTCACTCCAGCCCTAGAAGCAGAGTGGGAGGAGATCATCGCTGCTCGAAGCACCGTTACAGGACATACCCGCAGTCAAGCCCAATCGTTTGAAGAAGCCGATAATCGAATGCAGCCCTTGAGCGGATCGCCGGGACTAGTGACGTCTGGGCAACCTCCGACGAAGAGGGTACCTCAATGTCAAAGCGTCCCGACAGCTTTTCCGCAGCAAATGCATCAGTCACAGCGTAGTTCCAGTTCGCTCTCCCTAGAGTCACAGCAAAGTGCGTGTGCGTTAGAGGATAGGAACTCGTATACGTGCGGTGTTATACTTGCTAGGCAGAACAACGTCAATTTGACACTCAGTACTACGACTACACTGGAAGAAACATCGGGCTCGAACCAGCGGAACCCAGCTATCGCGAGAGGTTCTGGCCATACAGATGAAGTGATTTGACCTTTCTCCCATAACGCTAGCATGGCTTGCTGACCATGTGTCCACAGGATTTGAGCGCTACGGATCCGGCCGCGCTGGGTTTGCGACACGGTCTACATGCTCAGTCTTCGGCTTGCATCGAGAAGGTCGGTAGTGTTGGCATTATGCAACTATCGTCGCACCCTGATCCTGTAGGGAAGCTCCAGGACGCAGGATGCAAGGAAAGTGAGCTCCCGGAGAACCCAAGTCAGGAAGGGCTAGAGCCATTGGAGCTGGCTAGGCGGGAGCTACCAAGAGCCCATGCTTGTACGCTTGAAGAGAAAGGTTTACCTACGTCTGCATTGCTCACAACCAGGAAGCCCTTGGAGACACAACAACAGCAAGAAATGCAGGGCGAGCTGGAGATCCTGGGGGCCATGCCGTCCGCACCCGCCAATGAAGTTGTTCACAAAGAGCCGGAGCTTCAAGCAGAAGCCGAAGTGGTGTCTTATACAAAGACGTGGAGGGAACCCGTTCTCGAAAAAGCCACACTTGTTCTACTGCTAGGCGGGACGGTCGAGGAGCAAAGCCAGGCACTGGTGAGTTCAGAACGATCACCAGGACGACTTTCCAAAGATTGCTGGACTCATGAGAAGGCTGTGATACAACATGCACCGGCCGAGCCCGACGTAAGCGATGAGCCCACAAGGCTTTTAGCACGGTCCGAGCGGTCAATATCATCATCTTCAGAACAGAGCGAGTCCAACCTGCAGAACCTCAAATCGCGCGCAGATACTCTACCTGTTTTAGCAATAGACCGTACACTGGTTGCACCCTCGGCGTTATCCTCACAGCTAGGGTTGAGGCTAGATACTAAGATCACAGCCGGGCAGGCGTTTGCCAAGCAGGGTGTGAATGCTCCGGCTAGGGGTAGAGATGCCAAAACGTGCCCTTTGCCTGCAGCGGCTCTAGCAGTGTGTGCACGCCATACTTCGGAGCAAAACAGCCTCCCGGAGACTGAAACTGGAGGTCTTCCGGCCCCGCCGGCTTTGAATCGGAGTGTCAGAGATCTTGAGGTTGTACCTGATCGGGAAGTGCAAGTTCGTATTGCAAACAGCATGCACACTATTGATGGAGAGCAGACTGCTCCTATTACCCGTGATTCGTCCACTTCAAAGCCACCAAATTGTGGGGAAGCGGATCAGGATTCTGCGTCCAGGCGATATAAGAACAGCTGCCGCACTGTCAACCACCCTATCTCACCTGTAATCGACGGTGTAGACATATCTCCAACAAGCCCTAGTAGGGGACCGCGATCGACCCTTGAAAGAGCAGATCAGTTTTCAGATGAACTAGCTGTGGCTCTACGACCTCTACTAGAGCCTTCCGCAGCTGCGAGCTGCAGTGGTTCACCCATCTACCAGAAAAGGTTGCACAGCATGGAGCTTGCACCGCAGCACATACAGCCCCCAGTAGATTATCGCAGGTATAGCGGGCGATGGACTACTCGGTCCCACGAATCACCTCAGGGTGACATCCAGTTATTACAGCATCGCGATGCTTGCGCAATGAGCCCAAGTCACAGTAACACAACACTATTTTCTGAGCTACACATCCCCATGCGTAGGACAGATTGGAGCAGCGCAGAGCGAGCAGTTGCAACAAAGCCAATGCAGTGTGCTGTCTTGGTCGAACCGAGGCGAAAGAAACCACTCATGAAGCGGGCCAAGACTGAGTGTGGAACATGCAGAAGGCGTGAGAAGAAGTGTGATGAAGCAAAGCCTGAATGCAACAACTGTACACGTATCGGCATCATCTGCCAAGGCTACATGGACAAGATGATGTTACGAAAGAATGAAATTTCAACGTCTCTACCTTCATTATCAGATCCAACGCGAATGCACATGGATGCACATCAGTCTGAAAGCAGACCACGCCGCTACGATCTTGCATATATACTTAATGGCGAGCCCGGCCTCGGTAGCAGCCAGAGCATCCACGAAGACACCCACGCTCCCGTTCAAAGTGCAGACACTGTTGATGGTGGCGTTACTGTCGAACAACGCAGGTTTCCATCCCCTGCATCAAGCGGGGGAACGGGCAGGCATGATCTGTCCCACGTATCGTGTCTAAGAGAGCAGTCATATCCGCCTGCTCATCATCCTCAATCTCCGCTTGCGCCTGTACCTGTTTACGAGAGGGACGTATCTAACAAAGACTGTCGAGTGATGCATCCTATCCAAATCCTACCTTCGTTATATCACAACCCACGCATACATGATCAGACAGCGCAAAGTGTGGATCGTGGCACTGCCAATCCTTTGTAGTAGCATCCGAGGCTCACCAACAGAGAGCACAGTCACCGCGGGTTTTATTGTCAGCTATCCCAACTGCTGCACCGCCAAAGCCATCGCTATCTTGGCGTAAACAAGCACCAAGTCTCCCGAAAACTGAGAAGCAGAAGATGTAAGATGAAGAGCCTTTCATGCCCTACAGCACTCAGTTAGTTGACGATCGAAGGCAGTGCGCAGCTGTACTATACCGCTTCAACACCGTCGATGCCGTACCCGAGGTCGTGCAGCGTGTGCGTGAGCGCTATTTCAGAGCGGCTATAGAGGCAGCTTGGACTCAGCCTCGTTGCGGAGACCGTCCGGTCGGCGGTCGGCTTGGTAGTAATACACACGTTGCTATACCGTTTCACTGCGACTACGGCTACAACGTCTCTATTGGCGACAATGTCATAATCGGGCCTGATTCCCAATTACTTGATTCAGCCAGGATAAGCATTGGAAGAAACACCAAGATTGGTAGGTGTGTTACCATTTCGACTTTGAAAGCACCGACTGATATGAAACCATCGAAGACGGGCTACGGCCTTGAAATCGCTAAAGATGTCTACATCGGCGAGAACGTCTATATCGGTGATTGCTGCGTCGTAGGAGCCGGAGTGCGAGTTGGTGACGGTGCCATTATTCGTTCTGGGTCAATCGTCGTTTGTAACATACCACCAGGCTACATCGCCTGTGGCAATCCAGCCAATACGTACGAGGCCAATTAACGTTAGATTTGAATTTGATCTATCTGTTTGCAACCCTGCTGGCCAGCCTTTCACAGGGGCCACCGAGACCTTTTCCCGCATCTGACCCTCAGCTCCAAGCCTCCCGGTTTGCTATTGGGGATAATTACGACACAACGACCGCTACCAGAACTCAGCAGCCCATGGTCTGCCAATAGGATGGTTCGACCATATTCTTATCAGAGAACCACTCTCCAGTTGCTACAAAACGCGCACACTAGACTCATATCTCGTGTTCTCAGCAGAGACAAAGATTGACTAAAAGTATGGGGGAATTAGACTTTGAGTGGCATAGGGTCAAATTATAAGATGATGCTATAATTCCACAGTTCGCGCCTCCAGGTCAGACAACACTATTCTTTCTCCCTAAAACAATTTTTTCAAATCAACTATTGTCATTGCCAACAAGTCCCTCATGTCTTTCTAAACGAAACCAAGCTTCATCCACCACGGCACCTGGGATGAATCCACCCGCTCCCACCCCGCCATGAAATGGATGTACGCATTACCCTCTTTGCTCCCTTTCTCCCTCCTCTCACTAACTTCACCAAAACAGGGAAGACTACATTAACGCCGTCGACGCCCACAAAGCGCTCGACAACGAGCCCTACTCCAACTGGGTTTCATCCTCGCACATTTTCACCAAATCCACGGGCGAAACCATCTCCGGCGGCGCCGCCTCCTGGACAACGCTCGGCAAAGAGCTCTACACGCCCTTCGCCTCGCATCTGCACGACCCGTTCCTCCTCCTATGTTGGGAAAACGAGGAAGGCTGGGAAATGTTTGGCGCCGCGACGCTGTATTGGAATTTAGCTGTTAGCGGAGATGGGCAGAAGGTGAAGGACCGCAAGGGTAGGGAGTGGGATGGCGCGGGCCCAGCGAGCTTCAAGTCTACGTATGTTAGGCAGGATGGTGAGATTAGGTTGGCGGGGACGCAGATTTTTGCGGATCAGACGGGTGCTATGAGGACGATGTTGAAGAGGGGGATGTTGAAGCGGGAGGATTTGTTGAAATAGGTGGAGAAGAGCGGATTGAGGATGTGTTTTTTGTTCTATCTAGGTGTACGCTGAACTACACGCAGAATCAATATGTATTGTTCACAGCCATAAGTTTGGTTTGGTTTAGTTACATCCTAACATCATTTATTTTTCTAAATAATCGCCTCATTTGTGTCCTTGTTTGCACGTGGCAAATCTCAGGTACAAGCAGTCGGAGGAACAGAGTATGTGTCGCAAGTGTTGTCCCCCAAATCATTGATCCCAGTAGAGTTGTCATAGATAGCGACGTCGTTGTAGAGCAATATATTCTTTCTGATCACATTCTTTGTAGCGATTTCGCCACCAGGTCCCTCGAGCAAGAAAATACCCACGCCTACACCTCCGTTGTTGAACTTCTCGATGACATTTCCCGTGACAATAGTTTCGGTTGCGCCATAGACGACTATACCAGCGCCGTAGATCTTAAAATCCTTGTCGCAACCAGGATTCCGCAGACTGAATCGATTGTCGATGATGGATGTACCCTTAACGCCAGGGTCAGCGGCGGCGCCAACGCAGACGTTGGTAGCTTTATTCCGTTGTATAATACCACCCGGAGTCTGAGATACGAGTGCAGTAAAGTAGCCTGTGATGTGGTTTTCGGAAAGTATAGCGTCAGAATAATCGTCGGCCATCAAGCCAATGTAGTGGATGGCGGTTGTAGAGACCACATTTTTTTGCACGAGTGCCCTTAGATCCGACGCTAAGAAAGCCGTATTGTCCGCCATTAATCAATGTATTCTTATAGATTCGAAGGTTGTAGGCACCAACCGCGGCGATATTCACTCCGTTGAAGCCGATGACTGTGAAACCAGTGACGGAGACGTCCTTGATGAATCCCCCAACAGACTTGATCTCACGATGCTCCTTTACATATCTTTCCAGAACAATATCGTTGCCATGGATACAAATGCCCGCCTCAGTCTCTTTCAGATCCAGAGTCTGAGAAAGACCAGAGCAAAGATTCTTGTCGAAATGAGCGGGAGGTTTCAAGGTTGCACCCTTCTTCCCAACAAGTTTAATTCCAGCTTTCTTAATAGTGATTTGCTCATAGTATGTTCCACCTTCGACCTCAATACGATCTCCAGGCTGGGCTTGATCGATTGCTTCCTGGATTGACTGGTGGGGTTGAACGCGTCTGCAGTCCTGCGTTTTGAAAGGCCCGGCGATGGTATCGTTAACAATGAGAAGGGCTACGATGATGGAGAGCAGACGGCCATGGACCAAAGATAGTAAGATTTGATGGAGCATTTTTATCGAGAGAGATAGTTAAAACTTCTCTTGTAGCAGCTGTCAAGATCGGACACCATGGGAAGGAAAGGAGAACGAGAAATAGTATAAAGAGTTCATTCCCTTGGAACTATGACGATGTTCTAAAGAGGGGTCGTGATTTCAACTCTCAGCCCCAGCTCAGTAATTGTAGAACACACCAATCGCATCCCTGACAAATATCCCTCGTCAAGACATTCGACCATAGGAGCAGCGCATACCCCTCTTTTACAACTCGTCCTCTCTCACGAGCTCAACAAATATGGCAGTCTTAGTTGCAATTGTTGAAATTCCGATTCAGAGCGAGATTTTCGATTGTGGAGTGATGGCTTCAAGCCTCCACTACATGTCACGGGGGGTACAGGCAGGGCCGTCTAGGTGTCTCGGCAGTAGATAAATAGGTACAGGTCTATTCTATCTAAGAATCTTAACAGGCAAGAAGAAGACAAGAGGTAGCTCTAGGAGCTTCAGACGGGACGCGCATGCGAAGGAATTTCAGTGTTGCAGAATCCAGGTGCGCTAGCGAGCACCCGGATTCTATGCAACCAATCAGAACCTGGTACCGCTCTTGGCGTTCCTCATCAGCCAGCGCCGTAACACCTCACATGTTTTAGAAATAGGTTCTACTTACCGTGCGATACAAGAATTAAGTGTAAACGTTACACATCTGCCTCGCTTTAGCTAGCAGTAGGTACGTTGAAAGCTAATGCACCTCGTTAAAAGTCCGTCAACTTACACCTTGTCATATCATGATTTTTCCCGAGCACCATAGTTGCTAACAAGCAAATCAAGCAAATATAAGGCACTCTATTTGCTTGATTTGGGTCTCTCCAGGTGTCGTATTTGATTTGCTTGTTTGATAGGCCCATACGAGCGTATTTGATTGATTGATTATTTGGTTATTTGGTTATATAGTTGCCGTTTTAGGAAGGAGCAGCATGTAGTCCCTAGCTGTCGTGATTGCCCGTGTAGTTGCCCGTGTTGCTACTATCGCCGTGTAAAGCTTTTAGCTATATTTCACAAGCTAAGTATACAACAGCTAATGGGATATACTTGCCCGTTAATTACCGTCGTCATCGCTCGAAGCTTGCCACTCGTCGAGGCTATACAGCCTGTCAATGTCGCTGTTGCTAAGTGTATCACAAACCGACTGATTAGGTAAACAGACGCCAGCGTTCATTCAAGCTCGTATACATTGAAGCGCGGCGAGTAGTTGCGACCCAATACGACGGCGTCGAGGTGCGAGGAGATCCCCAAGCTCGCTGAACATGCGCTCACACTCGCAGCTGCTAGCCGGTATACTTAATACATCGAGCGCAAAGCGCGCGAGGATAGGATACTTGGGTTGAAGCGCAACCCAGTATTTAATCGCGCTGCTGTCCGCGCTCTCGTACTGCTGCTTCGCCCATTTTGGCTCGTCTCGGCGCCATTTCTCGTACTCGTCAAGATTGCTGTCGTCGTCTGAGTTGTCATCCATAATAGCGGCGATAGCGTCGTCGATAGCGCTCGTGATAGGCTCTTTCCGGCGAACTGGCGGGGCTCCTTCGAGTCTGGTACTCACCCCAGAGTTGCTGGAAACCGTGATGGGCAGCAGTAAGCCACTCAGGCTTCTCACGCCACGCCTTGTCGCAATAGCGCTTGTAATATGGGTGTAGGCAGCACGCGGCGTAGTACACGGGCGACTCGTCGAGCTTCTGGTAGTAGTTGCTAAGCTTTGCCCAGGCAGCCTTCGTATTAATTACGAAGTGATCCTCCGGCGCGTTAGGTTGCTCGAAATCGACGCAATCAAAGCCTCGAATCCGCTCCTCAAGGCTCTCAAGAAGGTATTCAAAGACAGGTATAACCTCATATATTGCCCCAAAGCGACCAGCCTTCCCGCGCCCCTCTAGTCGCTTTGTGGCCATCTTTAGCGGCTGGAGGACCTGAACATAATCAGCGATTACTTGCCAGTCGTGGGCCGACAGCCCGCCCGACCTCATCCATCGCGGCGCGGTGGGCATCTTGTTATTGTGCGCCCTAGCATAATCGTCGAGGCGACGCTAATCAGCAACATGGTAATTAATATACGAGTTAAACGCTCCTTGTAGCTGTACAGCCCGCTCAAAGGCTGAGCAGAAGGAGTTCCAGCGTGTAACGACAGGCTTTACAGGCTCAAGTATTTTGACTTTCTCGCTAGATGGCAGGTCCTGGTTAGCGATTGTTTGAAAGCTGGAGAACGTCTCGTATTGCTGCGGCGTTTTGATGTAATTGATAGCGTCGATAAGCGCACCGAGCGGCCTATCCTTGCGCCAGTCACTCATGAGTTGCTCCTCATCCTAAACAGCGAAGTTAGTATTACTTGCGGTGTTAAGCTGCCTAGCGAGACCTACTGGTATATTAGAGTCGTCGTTGTTAAATGCGTCTTTGTTTTGTAAGCCTAGGACCACATCACATGACTGCTCTGCAGGCATGACTAATGCGTCCGACTACTTTCGAGCTCAGATCACATACTTGTACATACACACAACAATACACACATACATGTGACCTTATACTACGACCACCCTATGCTTACATGTTTACGCCAAAAATAACAGCCTGGCCGACGAGATTAATCGTGTGAGCGCTACAACGCAGCCGTCGGTGGCTTGGCAAAAACCCGTACTTGCTACCAAGCCTGGCGATAGCTGCGTCGTTGTTGTACGCGTTGTCGAGCATAAAGTAGCCCAGCTTCGGCGCTGTTATCCCAAACCCTAACAGCGTCTTTTCAACGCAATCAGCTATCCTATCGCCTGTGTGAGCACCTGCAAGCTGCGGTAGGTCGATAGCAACGTCCTCGAGGATGCCGCTGGCTGATACAAAGTGAGCGACTATACCAAAGAAGCCACGCTTGCCGCCTCTAGTCGTCCAGCCGTCAAAGCTTATATGGATCTTGCTCGCCGCAGTGCGCAGCCTCGCGACAACCTGAGGCTGCATAAACGTATACAGCTTCATTACGTAGCGCGACACGCTCTCATGGTTTGCCCACAAGGCTTTCTCGGCTTCGGGGTTTAAGAATCGTATCATCGATCGAAACGCGGGGCTCTCAAACTGAGACAGCGCGATATTGTTGTCAATAATCCAGCTTACAGCAGCTATTCGAAACGCCTGTATATCAAAACTACCAAGCTCGTTCGCTACGCTTTGGCTAACTCTTACACCAGAGTTAGCTATCATAGTAATCGTCTTCTGCCCACGGCTAGCTAGCTGTACTGGCGCGCCAGGTCTTGATATACGGTGGCGAGAAAGCAGATGAGCTGCTGCTGAGCTTGTCGCGAACGTTGTCTCTACACCAATCTTACCGGCAACGTCGTGCGCTTTGCGAGTATGGCAGAGCCTACAGATCCAGAAGATTCGGCTTGGGTTACTTCTCAAAGCGACGCGATAGCCGTGACCATATACCCAGCTTTTCTTGCGCTTCGATGTACGCGGCGGCCGCATGTACTTCGGCAGGCGCTCCCACTCTATCCCCCCAAAATCATCCGCGTATCCCTCATCGAGACCAGTATCCTCGTCGTCGCTAGATGCTGCTGTTGTTGTTGGGGCCACCGTGGCGGCTTCAGAAGACTCGACGGGCACGGTAATCGCGTTTTGTAGTACCGAATTACGCAGTTGTGTCTCGAAATTGGTGGCCTGGCTAGCAGCATCTAGGGCTTGACGCGTCGATGATGGCTGTGTCGCGTCGACAACTACGGGCTGGCTCTCTGTGCCCCTCTCAGTGTGCCTGCAACGTTTTAACGGACCAGCGTCGCTATTGCTAGACGCGGCCGCGCGTTTGGTGCCTTTCAGCTGTCTCCTCATAGCAATAAGCGCGTAAAAAGATACTGTAGGTAGCTGTGAATGGGCGTTGTGATTAAGAAATACGCGTAGGTACTCTAGACAATAAGCCTAATAGATCAAAACAAACGCTTATTTTGCTTGCTAACCTAAATCTTGGCTTTAAGAAACCATCACGAGATTACCATTACAATATCCTCACCTTTGAGGTCACATATGATATGGCCAGAGAGACGCCCAGACCAAATATATACAATCAATCAAGCAAGTATAACACTGCGTATTTGATTTGTTTGGTTATTTTACAGCTTCATATTTGATTTGATTGATTTGCTTATTTGCAAATAAGCTATCAAATACTTGCAAGTATACTTGCTTGTTAGCAACTATGATTGTTGATCCAGCCAGTAGGAGAGACAGTAATAATCCAATCGCGAGGTAGATCTGCGAACCAGGAGGTAATAAGGACCTTGCCTGCAAAGATGAGGAAGGGTGGGATAACGCGTCCTGTTGCGGCGACGCCTTGTACTAGAGTAACCCACTCGCGATCGCCAGGCTGTAGTTTCTTCTGTTTCCCAGGTTTCTCTAAGCCTGTGACAACAAGCTGAGAGGATATCTTGCCCATCATGAAGCCAGACTCATCAAAGTTCCAGGTATCCTCATCTACAATACCATACTTCGCCTTCATCGATTGAACGAGCGTGAACCAGGGCCTGATAACCGCTGGATCCTCGCAGACAGCTCGCTGGTGATCGTACGGACGGCTCCATCGCGTTCGCAGCTCAGGTGTACGCGCGATAAACCTGTCCACCCAGTTCTTGCCTGTAGGCTTCCCGCCACGCTCTCGCAGCAGTCTATCAGCCATATCTCGTACGTGTGCCTTCGAGGGCGGTATGCCACGTAAAGACTCGTCGAGTATACGCT